AAAAAAATTAATTAAAATTTTATTAAAAGAAAAAAAGAATTAGCCCAGGCCAGTGTGGCTCAGTTGACCTACAAACCAGGAGGTCACGGTTCAATTCCCAGTCGGGCATATGCCTGAGTTGCGGCTCAATCCCCAGTGGTGGGCGTGCAGGAGGCAGCCAATCCATGATTCTCATCATTGATGTTTCTCTCTCTCTCTCCCCCTTTCCCTTCCTCTATGAAGTCAATAAAAAATATTTTTTAAAAAGAATTATATATCTCTAGTAAATCTAACACAACACATATGTACTGATCACCAGGAGCTGGGCCCTGTTACAAGTGCTTTGAACTTCTTGTTTAATCTTACAGCCACTCCATGAACTAGAAACTATCCATATTCCCATTTGACAGATGAGGAAACTGAGGCATCGGGAGATTAAGTAACTTGCCCAAGATTATACAGCTGATGGGTGCTGATAGGGCCATGCCTAGATTTGAAGCCAGACACTTTGCTCTTTACGGCTCAACACCCCTCAAGCGCTTGAGGATGAACTGAGAGAGTAGAGTTCCTGGGCACCCCGGGAGCTGCCTTGGGAATAGGGGTAATCGGATCAGGTCCAAGCCTCCAGCTTCAGTCCTTCCCCATTAGATACCAAGGGCCCTTGTGCGGGTGTCAGCAGTAGGAGACAACATAGACAGATGGGTAGATGGGAGGAGGAGAGGGACAATGTGAGCCAGCCAGTCACTGACCAAAGTGACCGATGGTGACAGGGTGACTAAAACAGAGGTGGAAAGAGACGGGAATTGGGTGACAGAGAAGTCACAGAGTGTGTGTGTGTATGTGTGTGTGAATACACTGGGCCCATGTTCACACACATGTGCTCACACGTGCTCCTCAGGGGTGCAAGCATCGCCTGATCTAGAGGCAGCAGCCTGTCTCCCCTGTCGCCCCCCCTTCTGCCCATCTGTGCCCCTGGCCTGGGCCTCTCCTCCTACCAGCATCTGGGCTAGCCCTCCCACCCCACCTCTCTCCTCTGCCTTCCCTGCCTTCCCACTTACTCCCTTCCGCATCCTCCCTCCGCCCCACTGAGTCACTCATTCATCGAACCAGGATGTACGATCCGCGCCAAGCTCTCTCCCAGGTGCTCTGAGCACAGTGGTGAACAAGACAGGAAGAAGGTCCTGCCTCCAGGAGCCGCCGTTCCCGTGGGGGGAGACAATGAAAACCGATCAGGACAATGTCAGCTTGTGCTAAGGAGCCGGAGAGAGAGAAGCCAGGGGAGTGACAGAGAGCCAGGAGCCGGGGCGGCTTACACAGGACGGCCAGGGAGGGCCTTCCCGGGCTGACCCTGGAGCTAAGTCCTGAGGAGTCCACTGTGCCACAGCCTGAGGGACAGAATTCACGGCAGAGGGAAGCGTGTTCCAGGCAGAGGGGAGAGCACTCAACAGAGGGACCAGCACTCTGGGCCGAGGGAACAAGTGCAAAGGTCCTCAAAAAAACAAGCCCCGCGCAGCGGGCTGGCCCCGGCTCCGCACCCAGGGCGCTCTTGGTCTCCATCCCTCTTGCACAGACGGGCTACTCTTTCCTGTTCTCTCAGGTCTGCCTTTCTAAAGCGCCTGCTGTGCCTGTCCACACCTGAGCGCTGCAGGTAGGACTCGGCCGGCCCTTGGGGCACAGGACTTGTCCTATAACAGCCCCCATCCCACCAGGCCTCAGAGTCCAGCCTCCCTCCGCGCAGGCCTCACCCTCCTCCATTTCCCAGGCTCCCCATCCCTCAGCCCACAGCGTCTCTCCCAGTGCTTTCTCTCTCCCACCAACCTTCTCTGTCTCCCTTGCCCTCCCTCCTCTCCTCTTGAGCCCCGTCCCTGGCCCCAGATTGTGGATCCTGGGACACCAATCCAGCTGATTAACCCCGACTGCAGCCTCCATTCCAGCCAAGCACCTCCTAGTTCCCAACCAAAGGGGTTTGGTACACGGGAGACAGAAAATCCTGGTTTGACCCTGGCTCTGCCATTAACAGCTGTGTGACCTTGAGCAAGTCAGGTTACCCGTGTGGCCCTCAATTTACTCTAAAATAAATTAGGGTCACCTCCTGCCCATCTCAAGGGTTCAAGAGAAATAAGCAAGTCAGCTGTGGAATGACAAACATTCATAGAGTACGGCTGGGCACCAGGCCTTCTTCTAGGTGCTTTTTGCATAGTAACTAGTTTCAGCCCTTAGGATAACCCTGCAAATTGTCAATTACTCTGATTTCACACATGAAAAAATGGACCATCAGAGAGGTTAAGCAACTTACCCAAGGTCACACAGGAAGTAGCAAAGTCAGGATTTGAACCCAAACCGTCTGACTCCCCAATCTGTGCCCTCAACTGCTATGTGATAAACATACCCAACAACCCCTTGGGAACGCTACAGCACTGTTGGAAAGACAATCACCTGCCGGGCCGACATCCCCTCCCACCACTGCCCCACCCCTCTCAGCCTCCCAGAGAGCCCTTCCCCAGGCCTCCCACGCCCTGCGCAGCTTCTCCTGCTCCCAGCCTCCCTGCTCTTAACTCTGGCAGGGAGACCCTCAGCACTCCTTGCATCTGGCAGTTTCTTTCCTCTCCACCCACCCCCTCCCAAATCTCCAGTTTCCCAGAGCCATGACTAACAGCAGAGCCAGCAGCAGGCACCCAGCCCTGCACCCTCCATACCACTTCCCACCCCTCCCGCCTCGCTGCCCCCAGGAGCCCGAGCGGACAGAGTCCTCCCCTCTGGGCAGGGTCCGCTGACCCACTCAGATGAAGACTCCCATCCCCTGCCTCCTCCTCCATCCCTTTTCCCTCTTCTCCCCTCTCTGATTCCACCACAGTTCCACCACCTCACCCCAACCCACTTTCCATTTCTCTGGATTTTGGAGTCACGGACAGTCTTGGCAGCAGGGCTCTGGGTTCAAATCTGCACGCCTCACTTGCTAGTTGTGCGTGTGGCCGTGGGCGAGTTGTTTAACCAACTCCGGGCTTTATTTCCTCAACTATAAAATGAGGGAGTCTCTCCGTCTACCTGCCTTTCCGGGAGGCGGGCGAGGGTCTAAGAAATCATGGACGGCAACCTGCTTTGGATGAAAACGACTTCTTGAGAGAAGGGCGGTTTAGAGCCCCGATGGAGCCAGCCTGCCCGGCCGCCTTTTATTAGCTCCGTGACTTCGGTAGTTACTTAACCTCTCTGGGCCTCAGTTTCCTTATCTTTAAAACGGGCTAACACTAGTTCCAGCCTCCTAGAGTTGCTGTGACAATCGACATGAGTCAATACGCATAAACCTTAGAACAGTGTCTGGCACATAAGTGTTGGTTGTTTTTTATTATTGTTATGTTCCTGATGCCTATTCAGTAAGTTTAATAAAGAAATAAACCTTCACCATTCCCTCCCTTGACCACCAATTCCTGCTTCCTTCCCACTTGCCAGCCCATCTCTCCCCAGAGACAGCAATCACTGGCCTCGAGCCCCTACCTCTCGTCTTAGGAACCTGGTTCCCCACCCCCAAATCCAGGGGGCTCTCCAAAGAGTTTTTACCCCCTCTACCCTCACCCCACACACACACACACACCTCATGTTGAGGCTCTGTTTCAAAGACCAAAAAAGCAGAGTCCTGTGTCTACTTGGCGAACAGGAAGCCCACATTCCAGCCTGATCCTCCCACTCACTCGCTTGGTGACCTTGGGCCAGTCCCTGCCCATCTCTGAGCCCCCGTTTCCCTGACCCGTCAAATGGAGTAAAGGAGCCGGGGCTGGTGCTTTATTCACCACAGGACCTGAGCCCACAGCAGGTCAGCTCTGCCTCCTGGAGCCCCGGTCATCTCTCCAAGTCCCCCAGCCTCCTCCCCACCAGGCACCAGGCTCATCAAGGTCCCAGCCCCTCCAATCGGCAGCCTTCACTGCAGACACCAGCCCCCCAGCTCAACTCACTGCCGGGCCAGGCTCCCGGGGCCTGGCCTCTCAGGCCTGCAGACCGGCCCACGGCCGCCTGCCCGGCTTTCAGGGGCAGCTCCCCGCAGAGCACAGTCCATGTCAGACAACCCAGTTCCGCCGCCTGTGCCTGGAACCTCCTCCTTCTCCTCTGCAACCCCACCTCCAACCTCCGGGGTCACCCCGCTCAGGCCCTGGCCCTCTGGCTGTCTCCCGAGGCAGCCCCTTCCCTCCTGTGCCTGAGGTGCCCCCTTCCCGTGGAGCAACACGCACGTGCGCACGCACACACTCACGCACACACTCACACACACACTCACGCACACACTTCATTCACGGCCAGGTGTGGGCATCTCGGTCCCAACCTGTGTCCTTCCCAGAGCACCCCCATGTCTGGTCCTGCTGGACTCAGCCTGGCCCAGTGACAGCCCACCTTCCAATCCCGAAAATCCGCTGCTGGGGCGGACAGCACCCTCCAGCTCCCTCCTGACATTCACTCTTCCCATCCCAGGTTAGACCAGGGCCCTCCTGGGAATGTGGGGTGTCCAAGGCCCTGGAGCCCTCTCCGGCCCCCAACACCTCCCAGCCACTGTCCCCAAAATGCAGGTTCACTGGGGAACATCAGGTGCCTCCAGAAATTGTGGTGCCCCTGCCACCCGCCTCCAGTCTCATAATTTGCCCCCACCACCCAGCACCTGCCCCACTCCACCCCCACGCGCTCCCCAAATATTGGGGTCCCTCCCCCCATTTTCCCCACCCCAAGCTCACACTCCGCAGCTCCTGAGTCCGATCCTTCATCCTGCGACGGCTCCTCCTCCTCCTCGTCCTCCTGCCTGGGCTGCTGCTCCTACCTTCAGGCTCGGTGCTGGAGGCTGGGGTCTGGGGGCGCCGGGGGGAGCAGCAGA